GCTCCCCGCTGTGGTCCCTGGCCTGGGCTCCATGGCTAGCAGCGTGTGAGTCGGCCGACGGCTCTGTCCCCGCGACCGGCGAGTGGAGCCAGCTGTGGGGCCGTGCGGTGCAGCCCGCGGGCAGGCAGCATGGCCGCCAGGCCGGGCGGGAGGACGCCTCACCGAGGAATCTGGAGTCCCCTCCTCTTATACAAGGTGTGGGGTTTTTTTGCCTTGTCTCACTGTCCTTCGGTGTGCCTTCTGCCCTTGAGAAAGGGCATTGGCTCCATCTTTCATGCATTCTGCCAACCCCTTCCAGCAAAAGTACCTCTCCCATTTGTGAGGATGATGAGTCCCTCCACATATATTTAATTTGTTCTCCTGTTTATCCTGCTTAAATGTCCAGGGTGATAATGGAAATACCAAAACCCTAACATTTACAGTTTGGTTTGTATTGTGCAGATTGTGCTGGAAGGTGAAATGGGACAAGATAAATCTGCCAGTATAGCAGTTTTTGAAATTAAAATAACTCCTGGATATTGTATTGGTAAGTACTCCCTGCTCAGCTCCCATTTTCTCTGCATAGAAAAAAATGCCTTGTTGGCAGTTTAAAAACTGAATTAAAGGTCTGGGTTGAGAAAAAAGACAATGGCTTTTTCCTTATTGAAAAGTCAGCTGCCATATTCAATACTGATGTTGTTTAAGCTGAGGTTGCACATGCTAATACCTGGTTTTATTCACCTATCTCTGTGATATGTATAGACATTTCACACACAATAATTCATTCTAAAGTGATTTATTGTTCAAGCAGGATCAAGTGTTATATTTTCAGAAAACTAGACTGCTGAAAATATTACACATAACAGCTGCAACGTTATTTCTGCTGTCTGCCTGCTCACGCTTCCTTACAGTGGCATCTTGAAGGCTGCAGAGTCAAAAATCTGTTGATATTTACACTTACTGCTATTTCCTCATTACATTTGCCAAAAACCGCTAATGAAGTAAAAAAATTTCAGTGATGAGGAGGCTGGGAGACCTTTGCATTTCTGGGGAGCTCTGGTGGAGTTGTCACAATTCTTTGGCTCTGTGAAGGAAACAAAGCAATCTCATTACTGCTATGAAATACTAGTCCTGCTTTGCTTCTAGCCATCCCTGATTTACAAGTGGAAGTTCTGGTCTGGCTATTTAGTACTATGAAGTGGTATATTTAAAATTTATTTTATCTGGTTCTAAATTACAGCAGTTCTATATTGCTCAATAATAAAAAGATAGATTGCACTGAACAGGATGGAAATGAGAATTTTATCAAAAATCTTTCAAAAATTGTGGCTAAGCTTGCTTCCATTTGTTATAAGCTGTAAAGTGCTGCGTCCAGTTTCACACATAAAGGTGTTATCTGCACTGCCATATGTAAAACAAGGCCAGTGCTTAGCAACAGCTTCTATTCCAGTTTTTGTAATGGGAATGTGTGCACTGAGCTGGTGATGTCTGCAATTGCAGAATGTGACTTTGAAGAAAATCATCTTTGTGGTTTCGTGAACCGCTGGAACCCCAATGTGAACTGGTTTGTTGGTGGAGGAAACATTCGCAATTCTCAGTCTATCTTGCCCAAAGACCACACGCTCAACAGTGAACTGGGTAAGCAACAAATGTAAAGCAGAAGTATGGTGGAAAGTTTGACTCTGTGATCCATGTGTGACTCTTACACTGCAAATTACTATGTGAGTCCTTACTTCTCTCCTGGCATTGAGTAGGGTAAGAATGACTTCTGTGAAAAGGGGGATTAGAAAAAGGTCGGGGGAATTTTCAGAATTTCTTGCAAAGTTGTCTGTAAGCTTTATAATAATGTTGTTATGCCCTTTGCTAGGCTTCACAATTACTCTAAATGACAATAAAATTCTGGATGGAGAGGGCAAGAATTCATCTTTCTGTGAATTCTAAAAGTTTTAAAATCTTGTACTGCTGCTCTGCATATCTGGCAGAGGTTTTCTTTCCAGTGGCTATTGGGAAAATTGAGTAGGAAAGCTAAGGGACTGAAACAGGTTTGGAGAATCTTGGGATAAATTGCACAGTTTAGGAGCTTTGCTTCTTTCAGTCAAATGTGGTGCTGCTAATACAGTCCATCGGAGGCAGAATGCTGTAAAGACTGGAAGGATTTTTAGCACTCACCCTGTCCGAAATACTTGTCCCGGCCCCCTTGTTGAGGGGAGAGCCTTTCACATAGTCGTAGAGGCGGGTTGGGAATACCTTAGCCTTAACGTAGTGTGGCATGAACTGCTGCATTGGGTGACTGTCAGGAAATCTGGCTGCTGCCGCGCACTGTGCATCTCAGACAACGTGATGCTTGTTATGGCGAAAGGAATCTCATCATGAGAAGCAGGGCTGATCCTCTCTCCTTAACTCATGCCGCTGTGCCTTTTTATTTATTTCACAATTGTGTGAGTTGAGTACAGAGTGTCAGTCCGGCCTGGCATCACTCCACGGCAGCTAAATGCTGGTAAAATTTTGGTGGAAGTTTCACCCACCACAACTTCAACAGCAGACAGTGGCTCTACTGATTCAATAAAGTACAGTATGTGATAGGAAACACTGCCAACTGAGAGCAATCTCTTTTCTTATAGCCACAGTGTTTCTTTTTCACACCAAACCCTCACTGCTGACCATCAACTGAGAAGGCCCCAAGAAGCCAAAAGTCACAGAAGAGGCTTCTTTTTGCAACTATTGTGCTACACAGGTACATCAGCCAGGGAGATCATAATTAGGCTAGGAAATGTGGTAAAACTACAGAGCAAAAATGAAGTCGAGAACTTCGTAGGCAAGTACAGCTGAAGTATCACCAGCCCCATGGCAGCAGGCAGGCTGGAGGAGACCCGTAGCCAAGCAAATCCCTTTCCCCTCCTTCCACTGGAGCAAAGTGAGAAGTGACATCTCCAGGTTAGAGAACGCTGTTAGCTAATTGATGTAGTAGGGTAGACACAAACCTAATGGCATAGTTATGCTGAAGTACCCTGTCAGTCTGACACTCCATCGTCCTGTAAGGTTTCTACTTGTGAAGAACCATTTTTCCGTTCATCAACCGATACTGTGTGATGCTGTGTTTCTGGGAGTGTAGAAGAAGAAAAACTACAGATGCACGGCATATCCATGCACATGGATGTGTCCTGTTTAAATTGAGATAGCTCTCCCAAAATCAAAGCCTGAGAAGCTGTACCCTTTGAAAATCCTGCAGGTCATATTGGCTGTTGAGGAAGAGGAAGTCCCCTCATCTGTAATGCATTTTTCTGTTTATTAACATCTCCCAAAAGTCATTTTTGAGGATTTTACAAAAAAACAGTCTATTCAGTAAAAATAAAACATTTGGAAACCAAATCCTAGATAGACCGAGCAGAATTATACAAGCAGTAAAATGTGCAAAATAAAGGTTATTTGCCAATTCATTTGATATACTGAGTGAACGTCTGAGTAAAACCTGTGAGGAAACACGTGGTTTATAGTCTTGTTCGTTTCCTTGGGTTACCTCAGTAAAAGTTGCACTTCGAAAAAGACTAAATACTGAGCTGTTGGGACGCAGGGAATTTACTCAGTTGTAACGCATTTCTCCATTTTTGAATGGCTCCCAAAATTCAGAAGTTTATTACTTTCTTTAAGGTAAAGGTCTCAATTAAAGACTTAAGAAAGAGCTGAGACTGACTGTTTTGCCGTTGGTATTTTAGCCAATCAAATTTGGGTTATATCTAGGAGAAAAGGAGAAAAAAATAAATATCTCTTAGTAAAATTTCCTAGGAGTCAGCCATCATTGTCCAGGTCGTAGAGATACATGTCTAGTCCCTGCCTATCTCCTGATACTTCTTGTGAGATCCTTTAAAAAGTGTCCTTATACCAAGTTTCTTTTATACTTTTAGGTCACTACATGTATGTGGACTCTGTTTACGTCAAACATTTTCAGGAAGTGGCCCAGCTCATCTCACCAAAGACCACGGCCCCAATGTCTGGCTGTTTATCCTTTTATTATCAACTTAAGCAGGAGAGTAGCATTGTTTTTACTGTTTACTTGAGAGACACAAGTGGCTTTTATGAAGAGATCTGGAAAACAGACAGTGCACTGAGCGTGGAATGGGCGCTAGCAGAAGTTGACTTCAATGCGCCGTACCCCATGGAGGTAAAGCAACCATTCCTGTACAGTCCAGCTACGACTCCCAGGTTGCATCAGACACGAGTGCCAACTCAGGCCAGCTTGGGAGCATGGCAGTGGCCCTCCAGTATCTGAAAGATGGTTATAAGGATGCTGTTGATCTGCTGTTTCCTTTGTCCACTGCATAAGGGTCAAGGAGGAATCGCTTTCCATACTGGTGCTTGATTTTCAGCAAAAATGAAGTCAGGTGGTGAAGTGCTTGAACAGAATATCTTGGGAGGTTGATCAATGATCCATTTTTGAGGATGCTATCACAAAATAGTGCATGCCTCCCACTACAGAAGAAAAATTTTATGAAATATTCAGCTCTATTCCCCACCTTATACAATCGGCAGTTCAGTCTTTCTGTGCTTTCATGAGATAGAGTCCAAACTTGGGACCTAAAGGTACAGTAGTGCTTAGATGAGAAAGCCAGCTCTCTATGGTTACTGTAATTAATTTCAAGAGTATCAGAAAGAAATTGAATTTTTTGTTCTCTAGTGTTTACTGAAAAAGAACCTAAACCTTAGAAGACTGGAACAAACATTATATGTATATATATGTATAAAAAAATACATACACACACACATATATATGCATAAAAAAGTGTGTGTGTATATATAGGATATATATACATACATGCATATATACATTATCTCTTTGCATATATGTAAAATATATATTTTAATATCTAACACATATATAAATATCTTAGAAGATTGGAATAAAGTGTGTATGTATTATACATAAACATGTATTCTTGTATGCAAATATGTAACATATATTTTATACATATATATGTAATTTTGTTATATATATATACACACACACTCTCTCCATATATATATATACTTCTAACACTAGGATTACAAATAAATCATCTTTCATTCTACTTGCTTTAAGTCCACAGAAATTATTGGTTAATGCACTGCAAGCCTGCAGATTTTCAGAAATTATTGGGGGTAAAGCTAGTTTTCATCAGATGTTGCGTAGTCCTTTTGTACTCTGTAAAGTCAGTGACCAAGTCATCCATTTGAACTGTTAGACTTCAAATGGTATGGGAGAGGGTATTAGATCTGATAAGGTCTCACAGTACTGAATGGCAAGTGAATTACTTATTCAGTAAATATAAAAAGTAACATGCAAGGGGAAAAACAGTCCTAGTGCTGTAGATAGAAATTAATTAATGATCACTTAGAGATTGGCAGTACTATGGTTAGTTTTGTGAAACTATCCTCTTGGTTCTTAGCGGCATTCATAAAACCATCCAGAATGCTGGAAACTATCTATACTGGAATAAATAGCAAAACAGAAGATGTCGTACCACTGGATGAATGCCCTATGTTCAGCAGAGTATGCAACTCCAGCCCTCTCAGTTAAAAACAAATATCCTAGAACTACAAGAAGGAGATGGGGGATAATCAAAAGTACGGAGAAGTTACATTAATGAAATAACAGTGTTCAGCCTGTAAAAAAAAAAAAGTAGAATATGGTAGAGGTTCATAAAAAAATGAATGATACAGAAAAACTTAACTGTTCCCTTTTTCTCAAAATATATGTTGCTGTTCTAAATTCTTAATTACCAGGTAAGACTTTTAAAATAAACCAAAGAGACGATTTTTCCGTACACCACATAACTGTAGAATTCATATCCACAACGTACTAAGGTTACAATTATTCTGACCAGTTCAAAAACTGATCCAATTAATGGGAAAGAAAGAATTCATCAGGAATGCAATGTGAGGAAAGAAGAACTGATAACTTGTCATTGTCTTCAGTTCTTTCTGTAGGTGACCTCTGCTGGAGACAAGACACTGGGCTAGATGGGCCTTTATTCTGCTCTAGGAATTTTTATGTAATCCAACACAGTCATTGTTTTAGAGATCACTTTATAGAAATAAGATTAAACCTTGCATATAATTTCTTCAATTGCTTCAAGAGGGTCTTCCTCTTTGTTTCATTTGGCTAAAGGAGATAGCTCGGGATTCTTTCACAGCTCTCCTAGTTTGGCTCCCATCCCTAGGCGAGACATCACAGGCATGGCTTTCACTGAACAGGATCTCAGTCTGGAAGCATTTGTCCTTATATCCTTGTTTTGTCCCTGGGGTTGCCTTGTGATTCAGGCCTTTTCTCAGAGTTTTCCTGTAACTCAGAGCTTTGATACTTGAGAGAACTGTTATGACACTTCCTCAGGAGTTATGGACAGTCCTTCACTTACTTGAGGAAATGATGTCCCTTGGGAATCGCAAAGTAAAACATTGTTTGATATTTGTGGTAAACTAAACACAGTGATAGCTTTTTTAGTTCTTATCTTATCTACATTTTTTTAAGGAAAACTTCCCTGCCAGCTGATGCCAAGGCGTGGGTTTCAGTGTCTGAGGATGTTTAGAGAAAACAGTAAAACCTCATACTGCAAAAGCAGAGTAATCCAGACAGTTTGTTTTTAGCTCTTGATCCATAAATTCTAGATACAGTGATAATTAGGCAGCTTTAGAGCTGCAATCAATATAGACTGATGACCCTGAATACTGGCTTTGTATGTTATCATGACAGTAGCCTTACTGCATCTTAAAAACTGATGTTTCATAACGCAGCAGGAGAGCTATGTTCCCCTTGATTTTTGTTGACCTTGAGTGGGCAGAGATCTGGTGCCAGGGTCAGGGTCTGTTTTATATCCCTAATAAGTGATATAATATATATAGGTGTTGGGGCACCTGCAGTGCTGTCTGAGATGCCCTGGAGTCTGTCTGAGACATCTGATCAGAATTCTGTGATATGAAGATGCATACCAAAATTATTGTTGTGTATATGGCACATGAATAACAAACGATTGTCATTTCCAGGTAATATTTGAAGTTGCTTTCAATAGCGCCAAGGGAGGTTATGTTGCCCTTGATGACATTTCTTTCTCTCCAGTTTACTGCAGCAATCAGACAGGTATGAGTTCTTACTGCTTTTTACCTTCCTTGCTTTCGCCCTTTGGTTTGCCCCTCTGAACCGTCTATCAGTACTTGCAGTATTTGGTAGTGATGTGCAGATGCTTCTCAACTGACCAGCACCATTGGGCTCTTCTTCCTCCTGGTGACAACAGATAAACACTAATACAGTTCATTTGATCCAGAAACCAGTCCTTGATGCTTCCTTTCCAAAGACCTTGCCTCAGGGCTCTGAAACTGGAGCGCTGGACGAATGCTGTATTTGCATCACCCCAGCTTTTGAATGAATTACCACGCGCAGGCCTGTTGCAGGAAGAGAGGGGGATTTCCCCAGGTGTGATGGTATGAGAAAGAAAATGTCCTGGGCTTTTCATTGCTGCTGATGTACGGAACGTCTTCTATGCCACAAGCTCTGAGGTGTTCTTCAGGGCCAAAACAGGAGACTTGTCTTCATGTCTTCACTATTCCAGGAGGTATTATTTGTCTCAGAGAGTGGTGTGTCTGTCAGGATTTTATTAGGTTTTCACAGCAGCAGAAGCCAGCTGAATCCTCTGCTGTAGAGGCATTTGGGAAGAAGGACTTTGTCATTTGTGAATACAGTCTCTTAGGTACCTGTGTACCGATTTCTTGGGTTTTACTGTAGCACTAAGCAATAATCAAAAGCAGGTTAGTGGTTTCCCACTGAGCCCATCCATTCTCTTGGTCACAAGTTTGCATTTTTGGATAATGTTTCGACGTGAACAAGAAAAAAGATATTTTTTTGCCCTCTTTTATTTGCTTGGAGTCTCTGCTAGTTTTACTTACACTGCTCAAGTATCAGTAGGGGGTAGATTCCAGATATGTTATTAATCGATGACTCTTGGCTGAGTAATTCTAGGTGTTTCATTAATTGCTTGATGCCTGTTCTGCTTTTGCTTTGTTTTGCAACAAAAATGCTGAATTATGCTTGCAGTATGCCATGGATTGGAGCTAAATGCTCATCTGTCTCTTCCATTTTAATTTTCAGATGGCTTTTCTGTGTTGAGGTATAGGATAAATCATATAGTGTTTTCTGCACCAACCATGATTTAGTCATAGAATCACGGCTCAAGTTCTGATCTATTCTGAACGGAAAATTTGATAGGTTCAGGTAGAGCTTTACCTACTAACTGTGATTTTGAAGTTTTGAGGTTTTTTTTCTGTTTGAGAAATTAATGTCAACCATTTGCTTTAAATTTTGATGAACTACAGGAAAGCCGGTTAATCCTTCAGACATATCTCCTATTTCCATCTTCTATTCTTTTGAGTAGAGATGTTAAAAAGCAGGAGGTCTTCAATCTCCTTTCAGTCAGACATAGCACTGCATATATATCAGCATTAAGTTTTTTCCTGATTTTGACTTGCGTGCTGCTGTAGAGTGATGGTCACATGGCCCTGACTCCTGACATATAGCCAAAAATTGCATGATGGCTTTGGGTTGTGCCCCTCCTTCCCTCAGCATCTGGTACAAGTGACTGATGAGGCTTCTAAGGAAGCAGAAATATATCACTGAAAAGCACCTGACCCATGAATTCCACATCGCAGGTCAAGAGGGAGCCAACAGCAGGTCTGGGGAGCTTAGCTTAGCTTTTAATCAACTTCACTATAAATGGTGCAGCTTTGCTGCAGTGTTAAAATGAAAGAGGTATAGTTCCAGAGGTCAGTAGCCATGAGGTGGTACATGAATCAAAAGCTATTTGACTTACAGGCTTATGGCATGCATATGCACACACATTATACATGACTACAAAAGGTTTTTTAAGAAAGCGCTCTTTAAAAGAATATTAAATATTGGTGTTAGAAAGTTACATGATGTACAGAAAGTACACCCATGCATACGCTCACACTCATTGTGCCCAAATATCTTTTGAATGAAGGAGGAGGATGAAACCAAATGATCTGAATGTCTTTGTGCATTATGTCCTGAAGGAGGAAGCTTCTCTTAATATCTGTGGCTTATTTATATTTTAGAGGGCCAGTGAAGGAGGTTTTCTTCTGGCTGCAGCAAAAATGTAAGAAAATAACACCCACTTGTGATAGGAAATTGATAATTTTGACATCATTGTGACTTTGCACTATATGTGTATAACATCTTTGACCTCACTCTGTAATGCAAAAAAATATGAAACAGACTATACTTGTGCTTCAAATAGCTATGCTTATTATACTGTGCTCTCCCTAACAGAGCATATGCATCTATCTTTTAGGAACCCCTTTCAATCCCGCTGAGGCAGGCTGCAATTTTGAGGAAGATCTGTGTAATTTTTACCAGGATCACAAAGATGGCCTAGGATGGAGCAGAGTGAAAGTGAAGCGTAACGTGTATAGAGCAGGAGATCACACTACTGGCTTTGGTAAATCAAAACTTTTCACTAGAAGAGACAAACTGGATATAAAGGTTAACCTGCTGTGTCATTGGTCACTCTGTTAAGTAATGTCATTGGCACACTGGTTAGATTGCCTCACTGCAACTCCCTGCCATTACAAATCAGTGCACACTGCTCTGTCCTAGCTGGGACCCTGGCTATGCCTTCCCACATGTAAAGGGGGAAGGGCACCTCTGCAACAGTCATGCAGGGCTGTAAATCAGAGTATCTTCACTATACTGATCCGTAGTCACTAGAAGGATGATTCCATAAAAATATGCAAGCAAATATAGTAATAGCTTAATGCATTGTCTTTAATGTAGAGGAATGGTGGACTCTTAGCTCTTCCAGGCTTAGGATAATTCGCATTTTTAAGGGAAAACTGTGAAATGTGTAGTGAAGCCATGTAGTAAAACAACTGCTAATAAGTTCTGAAGCTCACACATCTTTTTGTGTAGAGTATTCGTGGTTTTTAATCACATGTGCTGAAGTCTCACCTCTTTATTCTTGGTGCAGAGAATAATGGGCCTTGTGCCAAATCCTTCATTCTTCGGTCTCAGAGCATTACCCTTGAAACAGCCAGGTTTCCAGTGAGGCCAGCAGGCCAGAGAATTTTTCAGTGTAAATTTGAAAAGTGCTTATTTCTGGTAATGTAGCCATGTGCCAGTTTTGCTTGAAATAGCCGGGGTGCTTTTAGAAAAATTCTTATTTCCTTTCAAACAGACTGTGATAATCTGTTTCCTGCCAGTAGAAACTGTTTTTATAACCAGAGTCTAATGCAGTAATGGAAGCTGCTTTAATAGCGTATCAACTGTGCTTTAATAGCAAATCAACTGTGCTAATTGTGTATTAGAAATAATAATTGCACTGTCTTGCAGGTTATTACTTGTTGGCGAACACAAAGTTTACAACCCAGCCTGGGTACATTGGACGTCTGTATGGCCCGACTCTGCCAGGAAACTTGCAGTTTTGTCTGCGTTTTTATTATGCCTTATATGGGTTTTTCAAAATGAGTGGTACTCTTGCTGTTTATATCTTTGAGGAGAATCATGTCGTTCAAGAGAAAATCTGGTCTGTCTTGGACTCTCCAAAGGGAGTTTGGACTCAAGCTGAAATCTCCTTCAAAAAGCCTATGCCTTGCAAGGTAAGAGCCAACTCTTCAAATCTGCTGAATTCTGGATAGAGATTTTCCTTGTCTTCTCCTCCTAGGGTTCTTTGTTATCTGAGGATTAATCATAAGTGACCTATACTTGCACAGTAAAATAGAGTTCCCCAGGCAGTACAGTGGGGAGTAGAGTATTTCTTCACAGCCTGGCTCCCATGGGAGTCCCAATAAAGGGGCTTCATACCAGGAACGTGGGAGTGTTGCCCTGGTGTCCTCAACTGTATTCACAGTGGAGGACTGTGGAGATCTTGTGGAGATTTCACTAAAGGAGCTTTAATGAGAGCCGCTTGTGTCTTGGTTTCTCAGCAGGCTACATTCACTTGTAGTTTGTTAGTTTCCTGTGTGGTTTGCATCACCATACTCAATTACAGATTTAAATTAATCTAAAAAGCCAGTGCTGGTAAGTTCTGGTCAAAACAGGGAACTGATCCTACTTTCCTAAACTCAACCACTGGGTTAAAATATGAAAACACAATTCAGTGTAATTTAGAGCAATGGACTTGAACTATTTGCAGTGTCTGACTGGAGAGGTCACTTTGTTATCTCAGCAAGTTGATAAGAATAACATAATATTTCATATCACCTCCTAAGTCCTCAAGCTGCTCTTATTCCACACCTCCACTCTTTTTACAAAGACTGACTTTTACACAAATTTGTGTAGGTGCTACTTCTGTGGTTATCCTGATTTCTCTAATGGGTTTTCTCTATCTGTGAGTCACCTAAGGAGGACCAGATGGATTACTGCCTGATGACACTGAGATAAAGCCAGCTTTTTTTCAGAGTGTGATAGTAGTATGAACATATGAGTGAAAGTTTGTCTTGTAACTCAGGTATTTCTAAATTATAGACAAACATCTTAAGCATTTTCCCCACTACAAAGTCATTTTTGAAATTGCAGTAGTTATTGAGTTTAACTTTTTTTGTGGAAAAAAAATTTGTTTTTCTTCAAAGTAAGTATATTGTGAAAGCAAAAGTTCACACACACACAAAAAAAATCTGCACTGAACATTTCAGTCCTAATTGTTGGTTAGTGTTTTCTCTCAAATATCTGATACCTTAAAAAAATGATGGGATTTTTATGTACACATTTTTAATGCATAGAACTGAATAGAATTTCTAATTCCCTTTCAACTGATACAGAAAATGAAGAATTTTATTACTGCCCACCAAGTGCATGACAGAAAAATCTCTCATAGTATCATTCCAAAATATTTGTAGAAAAGTATTTTTCTCTATTTTTAAACTGATAAAAAGGTATTGGTTAAAAAGGCAAGCTTATAATATACTTTTGCCATCTCCTGTTTATGTATTTCTTTATCATTTCTAAAAAGGTTCAGTAGCTTGTGTAGCGTAATACACTGTATGAGTAGTGATGACTGTTGAGCATGAGTGTTAAAAATGGTTTATAGCCTTGGAGGTGGCAGGTTTTTTAGCATCTGACATTTACATGGAAAATCTTTTCCAATATGGATTTATTAAGAACTATTTTTATGTTTTCCTAGAAATTAGTATATCTAAAACACTTGCGAAGAATCTTGTCTGGGATGGAAAGCTTTTCACGAATTGCAGCTTTCATGTCTGTAGTTACCAGTCTGTCTGTAGGCAGTAAAGATGGGGACCGCAGCACAGAGGAGAATAAAGCAGTCAAAGGAATATCCTCGCTGCTTCTGAGCCCAGAGGGCTGCAGGAGGGACAAAACCCCATGCTCTGCAGCAGGAGGGTTTGTTGGCCTCTGGCCATTCTCAGAAACCTTCAGTGGTCCTTCAGGTCTTGTGATGAGAAAGCCTTCTTTCCCACGGAAACTAGTTGCAAAATATTTCTGCTGAGCAGGCATTCCTCAAATATCACAAAACATGAGATTTACTGGGCTTTAGAGAAGTCAGCATGTGTTCAGCGTATCACAATTCAGACATCCCTTAGCCAAATAACTATGTATTTGGTGGGAGGTGTGTAGTTCTACTTTGGGCTTGGTTTAAAGCTATTCTCTCATGCTGTCTTTTTTCCTGGATTGGAAGGTTAAATTAGATTTAGAATAGGGATTAAGTTGCAGTTCTGCATACAGAGTAGATGCATGGGTACATAAGAAATCATACGCAGGCTATAATGTGCTGAACTTTGTATAACGGTGTTACGTTTTTCATTATGGCTGTGTATGTGTATACACCATCACTTTATAAAGTTTTCCTTAGACAAATAGTACGTGGAAGACAATGGGTGAAGATCTGAGGCATGTCAATACGGAAAAGTATATCAAGAAATGTTTACAACTGAGAAGGCAGCATACAGAAGACAAATGATTCCAAAGTTTAAGCATGTGTCTGCTTGCCATAAGGCAAAGGTGAAAAACTGGTGCAGTTACAGGTTGTCTGGTTCTAATATTCAGAAGCAAGCTAGAATGAAGTTGCACAGTGAACCCGGTTCTGGCTCTTCCTTGCAACCTCATGCCCGAGTCTTCAACCTTAATACTTTAAGAAGCCCTTTCATGCTTTATTTTGTATGTTTCTTCTTTTCCAAGCCAACAGAAGAAAATGAAGGAGCATTGTGTGGCACTGCATGAACACTTAGGTTAGTTCTCTGTAAAGATGTGTCTGCCTAGGACCTAGTGAATTAGCTGACAAGGAACACTCGTTTCAGTGGCCATCTTCAATGTCGGCCAGTGGTGGAGGTGCATCAGAGCACATTTTACCTGACAGCAAGGAGCGATGGGAACCAGCAAGTCAGGGATTACACTTCAGGCTCCGGAGGGAGAGACAATATAGAGAAACATGAGAGAAACAAGCTCACTGAAGCTTGACCTCTCTTGTCCCGTTTCTTCTAAACTGTCCTTGCGTCTCTTGCCTCCTCACTGATGCATCTTTGTTTTATCTGTCCTGCCCCATAGGCAGCAACCCCAGCCTATTCCCCATCTTACTCCTGGCTCCTCAGCTGAGGACAGTCCAATTTTTTTCCCTCTAATCCTGTTCATGTCCTAGTCTGTTTGCCCTGCTTGTCCCAGTTCTTACGAATCTTAGTTTTTCAAAGACTAATGACTTGATGGAAAGCACAGTTCTGGCACAAAGACCAAACCCTGACACATTTCATGTTCCTACTCCAAAGCCTAGGAGTGCCCAAGCTTTTCAAAGAATTTTTTAAATAGGGGCAAAGCAAAACCTTTTTTCCTAGCCTTGTTCTCGGAAATGATGGAACTGTTTTGGCTTAAATCTTCCAAAACAAGCCTGAAGCAAGGACCCAGCATGGAAAGTCTGAGCTAAAATCATTACAGCTTGGCAATGTTACAAGCAAGTGAAAAAGTGTCTTTTAATGGAGTGAGGTGGTCTCAGAATAAGATAGCGCTGTCACCTTTCCTCTCTTACAGATGTAGTGGCTGATGTGTCTATCCCATTGTTTTCTGAGATGCATCGTGTCTAGACTTAAATGATAAGAAGTTGTAGCCATGCACAGCAGTTTGGCTGATCCAGTTCTTGGTTACTGGGTGTGACTTCTAGATTGGGTCAGCGCCTGTGGAAACAGTAAACAGTCTCCTGGCATTTCCTTAATGGCCAGTAAAGTCAGCAAGGCAGTGCTTATGCTGCTGTGGCCAGGGAGTCCTGAAGGTTGTAACCATTTTGCAGCCAGAAAATTGTTCTGAAATACCTGATTACCTATGTCCTTCGTCTTTCTTCTGCTATGAATACTACTCCCAAGGCTTTGAAAGCAGTATAAAATCTGTCTGATATGTTTCAATTCTGATAATGTATTTGTTTTATATCAGGACAATAAAAAGGCTCAGGTTTTCATTCTTGGTTTGTGTAATGGTTTTTTCAAGTTCTTTTTGAATTAGCTAACTGCAGTCTGGCACAGACTGTTGGCTTGAGTTCTGTGAGCAGGAAACGTGAAGCTGGCCAACAGGCCTTAGTATGACACCTTGACACTACCACGTTAAAAAGGTTAGGTGAGTATGATCCAGCTAAGCAAGTTGTAAATGCTTTTTATATACATATATGTTTTATATATATGTGTACATAATGCAAATACATATGCTACATAATGCTAGCGAGAAGGCAGGAAATTTAAAATCCTGATTTCTCATTTTGTACTTGAGGCACTCTCTTTTTTTAGTTAGTGTAAGTACCTATGATTCTATACACATACAGTATTGGTTTTATTCTCTGTAGTGCTCAGGGAGTAAGTGTGAGAAGGAAGAAATAAAAAAACCCCTTAACATTTATTAAAATAAATTAAACCCTTCTTGCTTTGTTGTACAAGCTTCCTAAAGGGCAGCATAAAAATCTGAGCCTGAAATACGTAGATTCTTTTGATCTCATTGAATGTACTAAAACTGATCTTCCAGGCGAATACATGGCAGGAAAATGTCAGAGGTAACTGAAAGAAAAATTCACATACGGCATATGTAGCCTGGAGATGCTCACAGGCACTGTGAAGCAAGGATATACATTTTAATATTGTGTGTGTGTTTGTGTGTATATGCCACCATGGAAAGATTTTATGCAACTTCACAAGTCCAAATGCCTAGATTAAAATGAAGGTTTGAATGCAATTGGGTCCACTTACATCAGTTACGCTCAGTTGTCCTAGATTTGGCTCAGGTTTTCAAAAGCAAGCATCTCATGTTGTTTATCCATTCATGGAAGTTTTTGAAATTTTACCTAGTACTGTAGTGCTTGCATACCTCCCACAGAGTTCAAAACCAAATCCTCAGAAAGGTAGCTGGCATCAGAACAGCCCACCCTACTTCCATCAGAGTAGTTGTGGTAGAATTTCTTGGGTTTTCATTCTTTCAGTCTACTTTTCTTCCTCCCTGATATTTTTTTTTCCTCTCTCTCTTTCCTCAAGATCATCTGTTTGTTTTCACCTCTCCTCAATAACTAATTTTAGTTGCAGTTGTGAGAAAGCAAAATCAAGTGACTGAATATTGCACTTCAATATTTACATGTTTTAAAACAAACAAAAGGGACGACTTTTTGGGGAATGACTAAACA